AAAAATTAAAATAATCTATTTTTAAAGAAATATAGTTAAAAAAATATTTTATATATATATATATATGTGTGTGTGTGTGACAGCAACGCTGCACAAGCTGTGAAATTTACCCTATTTTGGTGCATGGGCCCCTAAACTAGTTTTTAAGTGTATAAGCCTTTGAACTATACATATGAGGCAAATTAGCGCCTCAATTAACTTCTATTGTTTGTTTCCCTTAAAATATCTGACGTGACGCACTTGGTCTTTCGAGCTCAATGGTATCAAGTTATATATAAGTATATTTTTCCTCTCTTACTGCAACGGTTCGAATCTAATTTTTTGTAAATTTGTTAAAAAAAATATATATCTGACATGACATGTATTTCCCTGTTGGTTTCGATTTGGTATGGTTTGAAAAAATGATTAATTTCGTTTCACTCTACAAAATTTTCATATTTAATTTGTTGGAAATTAATCTCTAAACTGAGTAGTGAGTACCCAAAAAAAGGTTTAACGGACTATTCTTAAAATAAATAGCCTTCTTTCACTTCAAACATTCGGTGCACCTATCACAGTGAAAAAACTTCGCCTCGCAATTTAAAATTGGAGATAAACATAGGCTAAAACATAGAAAAGAAGTTCAAAGGAGAGAAAAGTTCATAATTTTCCACTCTAGTCCTCTACACTTTTTATATCAGGGGTATTTGGCAATCTAAGCACCTTGATTGTGGGGTAGGTTTGGTTCTTCGACTTCTATGATTTATTCATACTTAAATTTATTGCATTTCACTGTTATTGTTTGTTTTTTAAAAGAAAAGTTTTTTTTTTTTTATATTAAACTCTTGGTATTATAAAGTCATATTAGATATTTTAATTAATTCAAAGTTTATCCAAGTTGAACCACATAAGAGGAGAAATTCTTCATATACATGTCTCTCCATTTATAAGATTCAAACTTGAAATCATATTAAAAAAAACTCACTTAAACCAACAGATTATTAATAGAGGAAAGGTTTTCTACTTGGGTGTAAATGTGATATGCATCTCCATGGCAATGCTTTTGTTTGTTTATACTGTTCTTGAATTATATTTTGCTAGAAGATTTTCCTAATGAAATTGATACTTTTAATGGGTTGCTTTAACTTTTGATGTTGGGATAAGAAAAGAAGGCAAAAGGCAATGAGGAGAGGAGGCCATAGGGTTGGATAAGAAGTGGGCTTAATAACATGTTATGTGATATGCATCATCTGTTTAAAATAAATAAAAAAGTGTTCACATATTATTAGGTTTACCAACAAGTGCAGAGCTCCCGCACGTGAATTTTGTTAAATTCCTTATTTACCTATTCAATTCAAGTGATAAGGGAAAAATTAAAAATATATATGCCTCTTTAAATTAAATAGGTAAATAAATAATTTAACAAGATAAAAAGATAAATATTGACAACCTTAACAATTGTCTTAGTGGCTTCAATTGGCAAATATTAATTAACCTATGATTACAACTGGCCTGGCCACTCGGTCCAGAACCTTAAGGTGCAGCCTCCCAGCCTAAAAGTCTTGGTTTTAATCCCCAACCCCAGAAATTGTACTTTAATTAAAAACAAATTTACAATGCTTGATTTAATCCAAAACAAATATACAATGCTTGATTTCTTCTACTAGATCTAAATATCCGTCAAGTGATTAATTTATGGATATAACTGTAAAAGGATCTCTATATTTTAACAAAGCTTCCCATTCCTCTTCTTTTCTGATTAATTTTTTTTATAATGCCATACATCTATCATGTAGTTCATGTTTTTTTTTTTTTTTGGCCGATAAATATTCATCCGTATATATGTAAACAAACTTAACAGAGAACACGAAATAAAAATGCATAAAGTTTAAATACCAGCAAAAATATGGAAAACTAGCTAACTGATAATAGAGTCTGCAAAAGGTAAGTGACGGGCCGAGGCACAACCTCTGGAAACTGTTAGCTTAGGACCTTATTCCTGTTTCCTGGACTCCTTCAAATGGCAGCCAAGAGTGGAACAGGTGTAGAAGCAATAAAACAGCGGGCAGAGAGACTGCACAAGGTAGCCAAAAGACTAACAAAGACTAACATCCAACCTTTGTTGAAGTTTCCAGAGAGTACAGATCAACTGCACAAGGTAGCCAAAAGATTAACATCCATCCTCTGCATTTGACAATGCTTGGAAGTTCCTACAGAGTACAGGCCATCCAAAACTCTGAAACTCTGGAGGTTGTGGAAGCCATACTATCACAACACAAGGTTAGTTGGCCCTTGCAGCATGCTCCTTCCATCACCATTTGGGTTACACAATAACATATAAAGCGTGCTTTTGATTTTCAAAGGGTTATGAACCAAACAAAACAGAAAACATCGCATGGAAATAAAAGAGACCTAACAAGAAAAAACAAAGCCAAGGCAGACCTCGATCCATGGCTTTGAACCACTACTTATCTCATTGCTGATTGCTCCACAGGGATTTGTTGGGCAACCGCGAACCATAAACTTTGAAAATCTCTACATTATGATTTCCCTAGATGGTCAGTATCATTAAGTCAATATGACACATGGTTTAGCCAAAAAGTTCCCTGTGGTCACCACACGCCATACAGTTTGGCCAAGTAAATCCATTACTATTAGGCTTATGGCAGCACAATTCACAAAATTAAAGTAAGACATGCAACTGGTTATGGTCTTATGTGAAACTAGTGGCTATGCAAGGGTTAGTAAATGTTGAGGTAAAAGCTGAGTAACAAACACTAAAATTATAGTAAAATTTGAATTGAAAAAACAAAAGAACTTCCATAATCCTCTATTCCGCCTAAAGGCTTCCCATTGATTTTTTTTTTTTGGGCTACCGTTAGCTCCACTAAGATTAGAATTTACTTTTACAATTTTTAATAGTTAGATTGATATAAATAACCCTAAAATTGACCCTTCAATTAAGTCATTTGTTTAATTAAAGCCTCTTCATTAACTCTTATCTTAAAAAGTTTCTCAAAGTTAATTTAGTATCAAATAAGTACCCATACTGCACAATCATCGCAACGCAAGGCAAAAACTCAAGAGAAAGAGTCACAGGCATGAAATGAACACCTAGAAATAATTCCTTTTTGTTGATATTGTGATGCTAAGTTGGCTCCCTTATTTAATGTGTTGCATAATCCATTCAAGGTAACTGGCCAAAAAGACATTTGAATTATCGAACTTTTCTATTTACTTGACAGTAAAAATTAGTGTAAGAAGCTACTCTTTAGGCAGACCAACTTAAAAGTGAAGCCAGAGCAAGCACCAACCAAAACAGTATCACAAATATACAGAATGAGTATACTCGTCAAAATTCTCCAAAGTGCTCCAAGCAAGTACTCATCATCATTGCTCAGATTATTTATGATTCCCAAAGCTAAATACCAAAATGAAAACACTTCACAGAGTTTTTAATATTTAATAATCAAAGTAAAGTTTTAGCTGAGACATACATATACCTATTTCGTAGGAATGATATTTCTGATAATTGGAAATAAGAGTGCAGTACTCAGAGAAGGGACAACATTCCAAACTGGAATTGACACAAAAGCAGTTGGTGCCAAAAAAAAAAAAGAAAAAAAAAAAGAGGAAA